CTCTCTCTCTCCATATTCTGCAGCAATTTCTGCGACATAATTGAATTGATTTACAGCGATTAATGTGCAGCAGCGACAAACGTTAATGTAACATGATTGTTTGTCATATCAGATCGACGGGCATGCCGCGGAAACGGGACCGGAGCTCGACGAGGAGATGGAGAAGGTCTTTGCGATGGACGTCGCGGAGAAGTTCGACGTAGCTCGGCTTGGATCGCCCTCGGAATCGACTGGATCTGATCGAGATCGCGACCGCGGGCCACCCCCGCGATATGGCGGCGATCGCGATTTCAATCGTAAGTCGCTATAGTGTCGCTTTTCGACGTTGTTTCCTTTCGAGGTGTCATTTACCTTCGAGAATTGGAAATAATAAAAATGACGTTTCTCCTCAGAATACCGTAAAAGAAGCTACCCACATCCGCACATGCCCCTGAAGAGCCTGCATTCCAGATCTATGCGACGGCATCTTTCACCGTAAGTTACTCATTAAAAGCAGATATTCAGCAAAATCTATTTCGTAGCTTTCTCGGCGGATACTTTGTCGATACTTGAAATCTCTTGTGCGAATCATCATTTGAGAGTGCAATATCTTTTCCGTATCACAATTGTACGTACCTACGATCGATTCTATGCACGCGAGTATAAAGCACATATATGGTTGATTTAATATTCCTGATGAACCTTGAAACTAATAAGCGTTTAGCTTCTGATAGCTCTAATTGTAAAAGATAACTGCGAAATTTCTCGAGTTTCGAGCGAGCAACATTCAATTGAATGCGTGTGAGAACCTTTTAGCTGGGAAACTGAAGCCAGAAAAGGTACATCTTGCGTTTCTTCGATATCCTTAGCGAAGGATCAGCAACGGAAGTGTCCACCGAAGAGGATCATGGTAATGTTCAAGCGAGGAGTAACGAGGTCCAGGAGGTCGACGGGATGAACCGTAACGGGCTGCAATCGACCGTCACAGCTGAGGCCGAGGCCGAAGTCGACGAAGAAACGGCGGAGGAAACCGAAAATGTAGGCAGCAGCGAGAGCGAGGCGCCGATCTCGGAGAGGGCGGCTTCCGGTTTCAACGACAGCCCGACCATCGGCAGTCCGAGGGTGCAATTTGAGAAGATCAAGGAAGAAGATGTATTGAGCATGCAGACACCAGAAGTGCCAACCGCTCCGAGTGGCCTGGAGGAAGATCGGAATCGCCGGCGGCATCAAAAGCACGAACATAAGTAAGTTAAATCTACGTGACGGCTTGTCAAGAGCGACAGAGATAAGATCATGCGATCTTTAATTAACACATTTAGCCGTCAAAACGGGAACGTATTTTTTCCGATTAGTAAAATAACATCTTGATGAGAATACGGGGTCAAAGTAGCTCTAATTTGAATGAATATCGTGTTTGCATATATAACGTGCACGGATCCTCGATATTTTAAAGGCGAAAGTTTAAATCCGGCGGTCGCATTTCATGTCACAATTTTGCGGAGTCATATTTGCACTGTATAAACCGCGCAATTATGAGCACGAAGCGATCGACCTTTATTTCGTACCATCCCGAGCGATGGGCTAGATTCAGCAGCGTGACAATTCCGGTACGGCGCGGTACCAAGTCGGCTAGTTGGTTCAAGATTTATGAGGTGGGGTGTGTGCTGAAAAATTTATGTTTACATCAGCGACTTAATTAAACGTTGGCTTTATTTAGACCGTCCAGATTCCTTAATTCTCTTCAAAAAGGAGAATAATTTCCTGAATAAGAATAAATAATTATAAAATAAAAATAAGAATAAGTCTTATATAAATAAGAAAAATAAGAATAAGAATAAATCTTATAAATTTATCTTCAAGTATATGACACGAGACAGATTGAAGTATTCATCATAATATAAGATTAGGGCTAGTAAGAATTTGAAGTAAGTACGTATGTTTATCATGATTATTTCAATAAGATTGGTAAATCTGTCCGCCTAAGTTCGGTGGCTATAGGCCTGATTGAATTTTCTCTTTCTTCATGTCACGATTAAATCATGATCAGGCAAACCTTTTTTATTCTCTCTATAAAAATTTAAATATATATTCCTACAAAAAGACTTAACTAACTGTCCCATTATCGACTGCTCTTCCAGACGTCACCATCACAAATCTCGCAAATACTCTCTGCAGGAGGATCCGCAATGGCGAAAGCGATCGGGGGCCGGTCTTCCAGACAATTCGAGCCTACTGACTCGACGTGTCAGCGTCCAGCCAGAAGAAGCGAGTACCTTGCAGGAACTCGACATCGACGACCTGGAGTCGCATCGTAGTGATGATCCGCGTGGCATGCGGCGGCACAAAGCTGCTCACTTAACGGTGCAGATTGGTCGACGGAAGGAAGGCGGTATCCCTCATGACACCTTCAAGAAAATGTACGATCACTCGCCGCACGAGGTGTTCGTCCAGCTGGACGAATTACACGGCTTGGGCGAGGAACGCGAGTGGCGAGAAACCGCGAGGTGGATTAAATACGAGGAGGACGTTGAGGAGGGTGCTGACAGATGGGGCAGGCCACACGTGGCCTCCCTTAGCTTCCATTCGCTGCTGAATCTTCGTCGTTGCCTGGAAACCGGCGTCGTCCTCCTCGATCTGGAGGAAAAGGATCTACCTGGGTTGGCTTACAGGGTAGTCGAGCAGATGGTCAGAGAGGAGCTTATTCTGGCCCAGGACAGACCGGTTGTGATGAGAGCGTTACTGCTAAGGCATAGGCATGTGCACGAGCACGAACGTGGGTTCCGATTTGGCGGCAAGAGGAGCTATTCCAGTTACACCAGCCTTCAGGTAATTCGCCCATAATGACGATATCGTTTGCATAACATGCATCGTGCGCACGAAAACGGCCAACTCCTGATTAAGACTCGCAAGATTCGCTTCGAGTTGTTTACCTATATCGAAAAGTAAATAAGTGCACCGATGAAAGGTGGAAAGTGATAATCTATTGCTCAACAGGTAATAACCGTGTTCACAAGCCTCAGGGTTGCTATATAAATTAGATTTCGATGAATTTCCATCTCAATTTGAGCTCCACGAACTGACGTAACCCTGAGTTTGCACTTTCGAATCTCTAGTGATCGAAAATAATTGCGATGATTGTAATGAATGCTGATGTACTTTATCGTGTTCGCGTTGAGACTTGAAAATAAGTCAATTTTATATGAATGTCGCAGTTTATGGAAATGTCGAAGATCACCTGCGGGGGCGATGTATCGAGCGCGATCAGTAGTGAGTAGTCGCAACGGGTGGTAGCGGGGAATAGGTTTAACTGACAGTGCTAATATTATTTCCACAGTCCATCTGGCTGGAGGAAGAAGATGCTGCGCGGGAAGCCGCTGAGAACCATGTAACCCAACATGTAAATCTCTCGTTTCCCGAATCAAACGCAGTTTTTTTACTTCTATTACTCTAGTCCTTCACTCTGTTCGCTCGCACGCCTCATACGAATTTTTATATACTTTTTAAAGTAAATCCGGCATGAATCTACGGGACAATGTCGATTTTATATAAAATTCTTCATTTAAGGACTGATTATCGGTCTTAAAACATGAAACAACAATTTATTGGGTCAATATTTCGAATATTTTTAATCTGGTTTAATACTTTGTCTATTTTATATGCCTAACATTTAGTACAACATTAATACAAAATTAACATCTATCTCTAAATTATTATATGATTGTAGTAGATAGGTAGACATATAGTAATACAGAACACTGATTATAGAACAGTCATTGACAATGTCGTAGCTTAAGGTTTATTTTAGTTATACAATTTAGTTTATGTATAATCTTTTTAGTCTTGACATTGAAACTAGTGAAAAGTGTATTTAAGTGGAGTCAGTTTTTTGCCTCATGTTATTCCTTCATAGTTATTTTCATGATAGATAAATGCCACACAATTTTACTCCGTAGCTTAAATTAGGACAACCGCAGCGCGATTTCCTACAGCTTGCAATTTTTCCATTGTGTTGCGTTTCTCCACGGGTGCTTTTTTAGCACGACTAGTCCTAGACCCGCCTGGGTTAAATTAATTCTAGAAATATTCGTTTAGTGCCGTTTGTCGAACGATAGCGACTACAAACGCTTGTGATCGTATGTCGCGCTTTTATTCATTAGAATTTCATTCTTATTATAGTTTATTATTCTTTTTTGCCTAATGTTCATTCGTTATCGCGGAGCAAATCACGAAGATATGACGTGTCTTTCGCATCAATGTGAGGCTGAACTATTTTATGTGCATTATTTTGTAAGCATTCCTGTGTGCATTCACGAGTACACTACATGACGGTTTTCTCACTTTATACACACAATTACAATTTTTTCTATCACAATACTTTCTCACCGCGAGATGTTTTCCTCGATTAATATCTTTCATAATCATGAAGACTTGAGACGAAAAAAAACGATCATTGATAATGTCACACTCATCTGTTATTGTATATTTTTATTCTGCTTAATTCTTATAAACTGAAAATAATCAATCAGCTTACCTTTTTGGGGGAAATTCATTATTATTACTATTATTATTTGAAACATTTTCTTTGTAAGTTAAACAATATCATGAAATTAGATAAACATATGTCTTATTTTACAAGTTAAAACAATTCTGTATATTTTTTACATTTTTTATAAGATGTAAGTTATTTTCGCAAATAGTTATTATTTTTACTGTTTATATAAACTTTGTAATTAACAGGCTATTTATCTCCTGATTTAGTCTTTTGTTCACTTCTAATTGTTCAATGACATAAGATTGTTCTAGTTTCAAGATATTGAGAAACAACCGATTTTTTGAATTTTCTTACCGAAGATCTAATACGTAGTCTTTCTTCGGCGGAATTTAAAGATTCTCAGATTGTTTTATAAAAATTTTGAAACATTCGACAGAATCTGCACGATGCGAAACCGAAGATCGTCTCGTCGAATCTGGCGCTCGACAGTAATCACACGGTGGTCGATATCAAGGAGGAACTAACGTACATGAGCAGTAACGAGGACTTGAAGAAGAGTCACAACGACTACATCCTCAAGAGGATTCCAGCCGGTGCTGAGGCGACAGTTGTACTCGTCGGCGCCGTCGACTTTCTGGATCAGCCGACGATAGCTTTCGTACGATTGGCCGAAGGTGTGTTTATGCCGTCCATCACGGAGGTGACGATACCGGTCAGATTCATGTTTACCCTATTGGGACCGAGAAACGGCGACCTGGATTATCACGAGATTGGCCGGTCAATCTCCACCTTGATGGCGAACACGTCGTTCCACAAGGTCGCTTATAAGGCCAACGAGAGGCGAGAGCTGCTCTCGGCTATTAACGAGTTCCTAGACGATTCGATTGTACTGCCACCCGGCGACTGGGAGAGACAGGCCTTGTTACCGTTCAACGAACTTAAGGCGAAGAGCGAGGCTATCAGGAAGCGAAAGGCAAAGGCGCTCGAGGAGAAGGACAAACCGGAACAAAGTGAGGCGGCCGTGAAAAAAGGTAATTTCTTCAAATACTTTAACCGTCTTTGTTATTCAATTCTTAAATATTTATCGTTTTCGCTCCTTCGTCCTTAATTAATTATTACCTGTAATGTAATGTATAACAGCTCTTCTAGCCGGCGAGGAGGAGAAGAAGCCACCAGAAGACGATGATCCATTGCGACGTACCAAACGTCCATTTGGCGGCCTCATCAACGACATTAAGCGTCGCTATCCCTTCTATTTATCTGATTTCACGGATGGCTTGAGCTCGTCCTGTCTCGCGGCAGCTATCTTCATGTATTTCGCCGCGCTATGCGGCGCCATCACCTTCGGTGGTCTGATGAGCGACAAGACGCAAAACGTAATAGGCATCTCTGAAACTCTGGTCTCCGGTTCGTGGACGGGCGTGATAATGGCACTATTTGCCACTCAACCGCTGGTGATCATCGGCACGACTGGTCCTTTATTGCTCTTCGACGAAAGTCTATACAACTTCTGCTTGGCTAACGAGCTCGAATTTCTGACTGTACGGGTATATGTTGGCGCCTGGATGGGTATTATCGCCCTGGCGATTGCCTGTGTCGAAGGTTCGGTCCTCGTGCGACTCTTCACGCGCTTCACCGAGGAAATCTTCACCGGATTGATTTCTATCCTTTACATCGTTGAAACGTTCATCAAGCTTTACAACTACTTTGTGCGCAATCCTCTTCTTCACGAGTACAGCTTTGGGCCGGACATCAATGACACAACCTATCCGCTCTACGTTACCGAAATGAAGGTCACGCCATGGAACGGAACCGAAGAGATCCTGCGCTTGGAAAAAGTTCTGGTACCGAGTCACGACATAGCTGGGTTGCTGATCAATCAACCCAACACAGCTTTGATGTGTACTATCCTTTGTCTGGGCACCTTTCTGGGCGCCTATTACTTAAGAATCTTCCGCAACAGCCATTACCTGGGTCGTAGTGCTCGAAGAGCCTTCGGAGACTTCGGCGTGCCTATTAGCATCGTCGTTTTCGTTCTAATCGACTATCTATTTATGGTAAAAACGGAGAAGTTACTGGTTCCTGAAGGACTCACCCCAACTATACCCGATAGAAATTGGTTCGTGTCTCCCGCTGGATACGAGAAACCCATACCACTTTGGATGGCTTTAGCTTGCGTGGTGCCAGCTTTGCTGGTTTACATCCTGGTGTTTATGGAGACTCAAATATCGGAGTAAGTTAGATTTAAATCGTTTGCCTGTCCGAGACGGCTCGCGGTTTCGGATTAATCATATCGTTCGCTTTGCAGACTGATCATCGATAAAAAGGAGCGTAAGCTGCGAAAGGGTAATGGCTATCACATGGACATTGTGGTGGTCTGCCTGATGAACGTGGGATGTGGCCTGATGGGTGCACCTTGGTGTTCCGCCGCGTCCGTGCGCTCTCTCACCCACGTATCCGCTGTGACCGTGATGTCACGCACCCACGCACCCGGCGACAAGCCGCACATCGTTGAAGTGAAAGAGCAACGGGTGAGCGCCCTTCTGGTCGCGATACTGATAGGCGTGAGCATGCTGATGGCACCGTTGTTGCGGCGGGTACCGATGTCCGTCCTTCTTGGTGTGTTCCTCTACATGGGTATCTCATCGACGAACGGCGTGCAGTTGTTTGACCGCATCAAGCTCTTTTTCATGCCAGTCAAACACCACGGTACAGCAAACTACGTGCGCCGCGTACAAACCTCCAAGATGCACATCTTCACCTCCATACAGATCTTGTGCCTAGCCATATTGTGGATTGTCAAGAGTACTAGAGCCGCTCTGGCCCTGCCCTTCTTCCTTATCCTGATGATACCATTGCGCGCTCAGATGAGCCACTTCTTCACCACCGCGGAGCTACGCGCCCTCGACAGTAAGGGACCTGAGCACGAAGTCGAAGACGAGCTGGACTTCTACGAGGAGGCTCCTCTACCTGGTTAGACTGTGCCTTAATCGACTATGATATCATGGCGTATCTCTCTCCGCCTCTCTCTTTCTCTCTTTAAATTCATCCACTATGTATCTTTCGAAATTATCTACTCATATATCTATTTCATATCAGGGTCTCAAAGTCCTTATCTAGCGCCAATACAGAGGTCGCAAGTACAGAGTTCTATTTTCACTAGATTATGTATATGCATATATGTATATAACGTCCATTAATAGGGTCCATTGATAAGGAGCTGATAAACGGTAGAATTCAAATATAAATGTACGACATATGTAATGCAGAAAGGATTATCAACAGTCATTAGACTGTCGGATCTCGTTTTGCACAAATTTTTTATTCTTTTGTGTTTTGTAGAGTTTTCATTCCACAATTTTCCATGAATCTTGGAACGCGCACGAATATTTATTTTCATTGATAATTACTAAGATTGCATCTGCTTATATATTTTGACCGTTTTTTGTCATGAAATTATATAAATAGCCTGACCGTACATTTTGAAATGATTGAGTTACTCATACACGCTTAATGGACGATATGATGCGTTTGCGTTCTTGAAATTAAGTGGAAAACCGGTGCCTCTGAATGCCTGATATTTGCGCTTTGCGATGTAATGCTCAGGAGAAGTTTACGTAATGGCACACATGAGGATAGTGCCAAATCAAAATGTTATGAGGACAATGCTCGGCTAGTGATGATTTTAGAGAGATAACGTTTTCGCAAATCCTTCCTTTTTCTCTTTTTTTTCATGGATATACATATAAATATATATAAACACACACATATAAGGGAACATATTGTTGCCTTGATCTTTAAATTCTTCAAAGATGTGTACGTGAGAGTTTATGAATCTTTATATATTCCAAATTTGTAGATCTTACGCGATATCTAAGTTTCAACGTTTTACTTCTTTTTCCTCTTCTTCTTCACAATTGTGCCTCTCTCTACACGTGTAAATCTTTAAATTTATAGGTGCTTACGTACGCGGATCATATATTGAGGCGCGAATGTATAAAATGTCAAATATCTTCACTTCCTCAGATTCTTGATTTTAGGAATTCCATATCGATCATCGATTTTAATCTTACAATTAGACTTTAAGCCCCCGATAATCTTTGCTTTTATAAATTTTACCATTGCTACATATTGTTAAATTCGTCAATTTCTTGTGATTCGTATTTACATACATATATACACATCTTCATAGTCACAAGTACTTACAAAACTTGCGCACTATATAAAGGATACTTAAAAAGACACAACTCTTGCGTCTCCCTTATTTGCACAGGTGCTTATTCACGCGATTGCACTTAAAAATGGGATAATTCTTACATATTTTTATATCTACACAAACCAGAACCCTAGATTTTAAATTTCATTAGGATTCATTTCTTATCCTTGGATTCCGTAGACGGATAATCCCTTCCATTTCACAGATCCTTTGATGGATACTTGAGTCCCGCAAGTCGGCAAAATCGAAACTGCGATGTTTTATTTTCTTTATTAACTTGATCAGTATAACGTTCTGCAAATCCTACTAGATAAGCATTCGTGTATTTGCTCGTAAAACACTATGATTTTAATTCATTCTTACGACATGAAATCTAAGAGAAGATATTCGCGCGCGCGTTTCGAGCAAGATGAAGCGATCGATGACGCTGTAATTAGAGCGGTTCGGAATTATCGTAAGGAATAAAGGCTGGTGAAAGAAAAAGAAAGAGTTATATTTAACTAAATGAACTATTTTCATTGTGTGTGTCTATATATATATATATAGACACACACACACATATATATAGATAGATAGAGAAGATACATTATATTTTTATTCGTATTAGAGTATTTTACTAAAACTTCCGTAAAGTCGTTTCCGCTTATTATAACACATCAATTGTTAATCGATAATAGAGAGAAATCTAGAGAGAGTGGAAGCGATATACTTAATCCATTGTGATAGCAAGCAGAATTGCTCGAATACAAAAAGATGGTACAACTGAGCACTTAACGTTAGCGAAAAGTTTATAATGCAAATCCTCTAATTAGATGTTTAATCGATCCATAGAACATTATCGATGCACACGTACGCGCGTACATATTCACCTATATGCGTTCCTATCGTCGTTGATATTATATTGTAACAAAAGATTATCGAGGCGAATTGTTACGAAGCGATAGTACGGTTGTACATAGTCTAGTTAACATACAGTATTAAAAAAAAATAATAATAATTAGCAATAGGCAATAGGCATAGTAGTTGATTTGCGCCTTAAATTAGTGATCGAAGAAATAAAACATATTTTAATTGTACTTGTATTTGATACTTGTCCCATTTATTCTCCGTTTTTTTGTTACTTTGGAATTAAAATCTCGATATGTAAAAGGAATGTAAATCTCGTGTGCTCAAAGTTGAGAGAGGGTTCCGTACTAGACAATCCATACGTATCTATTCCGCTTCCTCATTGTCCTCGATGTGTTTGTATACAGAGAACGGAATTTTAATGAAAGTCCTACGCGATTTCGTATATACGCGATATATTGGAAATTTCGGCGTTTTCCATGCAAATGGTATTAGAAAAATTCTACATTCTTCCTTTCTACATGTAGAAATCATTATTCGTGTCGTAATCACCACCTAAATGGCTTCACCGCGAAGATTAGTGTCCACACTAAAGCATCTGTCACCTCGGCCACTAGAAAGTGCTATATCGAACGTTAGGTGAGAATAACAAGAGAATCTTTTTTATTTATGTAAATCAAAATTCGTAACCAGAATAATAATTTATTAGAACATCTCGAAGTCCTAAAACTCCGGATAATATTCGCCAGAAAAAAGCGGTAGACGAAAAGCTGTTGTCACCGTTCAATATCGATACTCCTAATAGGGTCAAATTGCTCAAAGACGGTCTACCGAGGAAACATCACTCTGTGCTCGGAGCTGGTGCTTTCGGTACCGTCTACAAGGTGTTTTACAAAGGTGCCTTACCATAATTTTTTTAAATAAATTTTGCTATTAAATGTATTAAAAGGCTAATCGCGACAGAAGCGATAGAGACTTATAAATACTGTTTATACCGTTTCTTAGGAGATCAAGTAGCAGCAAAGGTAATTCCACGTAAACAAAACGACGATGAAGTAATAAACTCGGAGAGACACGCGGCTAATCTGCGACACGCCAACATCGTGAAAATATTGAGCATAGAACAGGGCAGTAGCTTATCGCTGATAACGATGGAACTGTGCGGTACGTCGTTGCAGGACAGGCTGCAGGAATCGGCTCTGTCGAAAGAAAAGCGTGTTTCCATTTGGAGAGACATCGCTAGCGCGCTCCAATTCTGCCACAATTCCGGCGTGATACACGCAGACGTCAAAGCAACTAATATTCTAATGGCAGCTGATGGTCAAGCTAAGCTCACCGACTTTGGGAGTTCGATATTGGTCGATGAACCGCATGTTTCAATCAGGCCGCGAGTACGCACGCATGTATAATATATACTCGTTGAATCTTTACTCAAAAACTTTAGATTCACCCTGTATATACACTTAATTATGAAAACACGTTTATAGATAAGATTTTTACTTAATTTCTTCTCATAAAAACTAATATCTCATCAGGGCACACCAGGTTACGCAGCACCAGAAGTGCTTCGAGGAGACGTACCTACGTTCGCTGCCGATATTTATTCACTAGGAATCGTAGCCTGGCAAATGCTGTCTCGAGAAGTACCCTTCCATGGATTACATAGCCATACTATCATATATATCTCTGTAAAAGGAACGCGTCCTAAAGATGAAGCTCTCGATGACGAATTTGCTGGAAGATACAAGGCACTGTTCAGAGCAGCGTGGTTACAAAATGTCACAGACAGACCTTCACTTGGTGAAATAATCAGTAGACTTGATCTCTTGTAATCAATAGTTAATATTTATTTAGTCAAAATTTAGCTTAAGCTTATAAGGAATCTTACTTGCAATAAGTAGCTTGGTTAGTGTATCTTAACCTTGTTAGGAGTAAATCTAATGCGCTTAGGATGACGACTGAAAAGTCAGTTTTACGTATCCGGCATCTCACCACCAGGCACCAACTGTAGCAGAATAAATCAATTATAAAAATGTATGCCTTGCTTTTCTTCTTGATCGTGTCAGAAACTATGCTCTATTAGAAATGTCGAATCTCTCAGAATTATCAAGTATTATTGATATTGTTGATAATAACCATTGTAATATTGCTGCCGTTAAGAAGAATCTGATCCAATTTTGTAACTCTGCGACCTTCCGGCGTTGCTTCACTTTCTGTCACATCCTCCAGTAACATGTTAACGAAATCATCAAAACCTTGCAAAGTTCCAACAATCTCCTTATCATTTTTCATAATGATGTGTATCCGAGAACCGATACATTTGTCAACAAGTTCTACAAATAATAATATAGTTTATTAGCAATAGATTGTGTGCAAATCCAGCAAAACATTATTGGCATAAATTTAGAATGACTGAACTCACTTACCTAAAGGCAACAACGTAGATGGATTCGTGCTAACCGAAGTAGCCATGATTTATATTTATATAACAAAATATATAATTACGAGTTTATCAAAATATAATTCGCTCGTTCAATTCAAAAGTAAGTATTTACCATAAGAACACAAAAATTGCATGAATCGCGCACAACTCAGTACTCACTCTCCATTAACCATAAAAAAAGAAGATAACTAGAAGGAAGGAATGTCAAGGAATATAAAGCTATATCCACACAAACTTGCATAAGCCCATAAACATAAGCTAAGAGAATTGATTGGTCCATATGCATGTGCATAAGGAAATAGACCAATCCGTTTCTTGATGCATATGGTTATGCACCGATGCAAGTTTGTCTGGATAGACCTTAAGGGGATGCTAAAGCCGTTTGTATTACCGACCAAATTCTATATCTGTCCTTGTATAGATAATGGTGATAGACAAGGATAGACATGGTTATAGGTTATAATTAGAGACCCTCTAGTTATAATTTCTTCGAAGCTCTCATTTTTATTCCAGGGTTTCAATCTCAATTTCAAAGGTACGTTATATTGTTTGTGCACGTCTTCTGAAGAGTGGGAACATTTTATTTCGTACAATATATTATGTACTTATACAACTGTTTATATTAGAAAATGAGGTGACAGCATCTTTCTAAAAATTATTTTAGTAATGCAAATAGGGATGCAGGATGACAAGAAGAGCAGCAACAGTAGTTGCCGGATCTTGCGTAAGATGGCGAGCAATCGAACAAAGACAGATGTCATTTCGTTAGACGAAGACAGATATAGGGAAAACAAAATTAGAAAGGTTGACATTATCGACATCGAGGAAGTTCGCCTGTCACTGCAGCCGTATGATTTACCGACATGATCGTTTTTCGACGGATCTTTTAATTGGCTTTACAGAATTGCAAGTTTTTGGTCTAGAATTAAAGTACGCCCAAAAATCTAGGGTAGAAAACGCGATTTTATATCAAAAACACCAAAAAATTAAAAATATTACTTATTTGGGCACATACGCAGCTGTCACCTGACGACAATATTTGCTTAAAACAAAAGTTCTGCAGTTTATACATACATAATTTTTATCATCTGCCCTTGGAAAAACATGTAGGAATAATATCGTGCAAGTAAAAGTAAGATTCAATGCGTACAAAAAAAGATCCATCGAAAAATTATTTTAGTAATGCAAATACGGATGCAAATGACAAGAAGAGCAGCAACAGTAGTTGCCGGATCTTGCGAGAGATGGCGAGCAATCGAAAAAAGGACAGATGTCATTTCGTTAGACAAAGACAGATATAGGGAAAACAAAATTAGAAAGGTTGACATTATCGACATCGAGGAAGTTCGCCAGTCACTGCAGGATCCCCTTAAAAGGTCGTAATGTAAAAACGAAAAATGCAGGACCAATCAAAAGTGGCCCTTTTATGTCCTGTCTCTTATTAGAGGGTTTCTAGTGGAACCACATCGTCAATTGGCTGATTTAAAATAAAGATATTTGATTGGCTGGTTCAGAGAAAAAACTCCAGGCACCAGGGGCTGTGAGTGGCTGTGGTCAATCGCAACGTGGTCAAACGCTCCCTTTGCCGGTTGCGATTGGGATTACCAGTTGATGTTTGCGGATTGACCAATCAGAGTAAAGATGCCTTTTCATGCTGACGCTCGACGCTCATTTTCAGCGGCAAGAAGGTCGCATGACCACAATTGACGCCGGCGTCAATTGAAATTCATGAAAAGGAAAACAGCGTCAAAATTTCGGCGTCTTCGCGCTGCTTTGGCTTTGACGCTTGAAGTTGGAAAAATCCAACTTCTCTTTCTTGACGCTGGCATCATAGTGATGTCACGTGACGACGCTCAACGCTGTTTTTCAGCGTCCCATGAATTGGCACCTTAAAGCAGGTTGCCAGGTAATTGGTCAACATCAGTTGATGTTGGCGGATTGACCAATAATGGTAAAGGCCATTGCACGTAACAAAGTTTTATGCGGGGTTTACAATGCGAGTCGTGGGTGAGTCGTGGGTCGTGAGTCGTAGGAAATGGACCAATCACAATCTAATTTGAGGTTTTTTTTTCTTATATTTATATACCTTGTATTAATAAGTTTCATTTATTGACTTCAAATTTTTCTTTTTACGTATACATTATTATAATTATTTTATAATTTATTATTACCTTAAACTAATAAAATCAACTTAAGTAACTAAAATTTTTATTTATATTACATATTATTATACACAGAATGCAAAATATATTTATTATTATAAGGCCCGGTTTCACCAACGTGATTTAATCTAATCGGTCGATTAAACTCTTCGTCTCTTTCTAGGGGGACAGTTAGGGTCAGTTTTACAAGTGTTGGTTAACTTTTAATCTTAGATTAACTCACTCTTTATCTTTTTCTAAGGGGGACGTTAGAAGGAGACGGAGAGTGAGTTAATCTAAGATTAAAAGTTAACCGACACTTGTGAAACTGGGCCTTAGAGACGAAGAGTGAGTTTAATCGACTGATTAGATTAATATAGCGTATTCGATTTGCTAACTCGACCCGACTCCGAGTCGAAAAAGTACGATCAAAAGTACGATTTTTGCAAACATCGTGTTTCAAATCGTACTTTTTCGACTCGGAGTTGGGTCGAGTCAGCAAATCGAATATGCTATAAATCACGTTGGTGAAACCGGGCCTAAGAGCCATTTCGACCAACGCCGATTAACTTTAATCGACGATTAACTCAATCAGCAGTGTCGCCAACAACAATAAGATATTTGTTGTTGTGTGTCGTTCTTAACCAATCTTTTTAAATATTATACTATTTCTCTTTAATTTGAATAAAGGTGTTTTGATTTTTATTTAAAATATCTACGAAAAACGTGTTTATGTAACATATAGATAGAATTATTAATTTTTTATTATTTGATGAATACGAGGGTTGTGATCTTCCAATAAGAAGGAATCGATAAAAACCACGTATAAATTATTTAGAAATTTTTGATGATGATCATTTTAAAAGAAGATTTGCAATATCAAAGAAAAACTTTAACATGATATATTAGTATATTAGTATATTAATCGGCGTTGGTCGAAGTGGCCCTAATTGGTACATCTTAAAATATGTTTATATTTCCCGCTCTTTGGTCGATGGGGCGAGGTTTAAATCTCGAAAGGTATCGAAAATCGAAGATGTCCGATGATACATTTTTTTGTGATATATTTTTCAGCACAGATGAATGGGAGGAATGGGATATTGGTAGTCCATACTTTTATAGTCAAAGAGGTATTCTATTCAGAAAACTGTGGTTTCGGCAAATCTTAAAATTCGTTCAATCACCGACAAATCGCCGGTAAACCATCGTTAAAAATTATCAACCGCCGTCAATCGACATCAACCGTCATCGAACCGGTACATTGCGAGTATTGCGACGTCACGAGTCACGACACGCTTCCGCTCCCGGCGCTCCCTCACCTTCGTGAAGAGATTGCCACGGCTCGCGTCTCGCGTCTTGCTCGCGTCTTTTCGTCCATTCTCGTCCTCACTTTTTCGCGGCTCGTTGGCACCGCATGGTCTTGTGTTCCGTCTCGACTCTACTACAGATTATCTGCAAATTAATTATGGCGGAGAATAAGGAGCGTACCTTTATCATGGTTAAGCCGGATGGTGTGCAGCGCGGTTTGGTCGGCAAGATTATTCAACGGTTCGAAGAGAAGGGTTTCAAACTAGTGGCTATGAAGATGCTGTGGGTAAGTGGTAGCTCGCGCGTAATTACATTATAAGTATACCCGCGTCTCAACTTCACGGAATTGGAAAAAAAAAAAAAAAAAAAAAAAAAAAAAACGCAAATACGCCACGTGGCTCTTCGAGATTTTTTTGTCTCTTCCAGATATATTGACTATTTTGGATTCGGTATTAAAGTGACTAATTTCATTTCTCATAAAATCTATGATTATTACTGAAGCTTGAAGCTTGTAACTGATTGAGAGAATACAATATGGCCTTAAAAATGAGGAATCTTGTACAATGAAACGTGTGTCGGTATAACAAATATTTAAATGTGAAGATTTAAATATGAGATACTTATATAAGGGAATATAATTTTTAATAATTTTTTACTGAATTTTTAATATCCTTGTCTAAAACACATCTATATTTATTCAATTTATGTACTATATTTTTGTTATAGCCTAGTGAAGAGCTCTTGAAGAAGCACTACGCCGATCTGGCATCAAGACCCTTCTTCCCAGGTTTGGTCAAATATATGAGCTCTGGAGCAGTTGTACCGATGGTGAGTTTTTTACAAAAATAATTATCATTAAATATTATTCATACAATAATAAATTTTAAGCCGCATCAATAATATCAATTAACTGAACTGTAGTAATATATATTAATATATTTATGAAATTGCTGTTTCAGGTCTGGGAAGGCTTGAACGCCGTTAAGACCGGCCGCGTGATGTTGGGCGAGACAAATCCTAAGGATTCTGCACCAGGCACAATTCGTGGTGATTTTTGCATACAAGTCGGACGCAATATTATCCACGGCTCCGATTCTGTTGAGTCAGCTAAAAAGGAGATTAGCCTGTGGTTTGGCGAGAAGGAAGTGATCGACTGGACGCACGCATCTGAAAAATGGATCTACGAATAAGAATCTGTGACGGAGGCTAGGTTTCTCAGAGGATACCATTTCTCTATAAGCATTTCCTTGGAGAGTCTTCCCAAACCTACTGCCAGCACGCAAGCGGACCGAATTGTTTGAGCAAGGCTAATGGTGCGTCTCCACCTGCCAGTAAGAACTCTCGAGAGCAAAAAGAAAGAGAGAGAGAGAGAGAGAGAGAGATACTCTCGAGTCTCTCTCTCTTTCTCTTTTTTTGCTCTCGAGAGTTCTTACTCGCAAGTGGACATGCACCATAAGATTTGAAAAAAGAAAACGTCAGACATTTGTAAGGAGTAAATAAACAGTTGTCAAACTTGATCAAAATTTTTGAAATATAAAATTGAAATGAAGTAAGAAGATATGAGTTACTAAAATAACTCGTATTGAAATTATCCAGATATGGAAAACATTGTAATAAAATGTAGTGCGAAAAACAGACAACTCTTATCAGAATTAGAAGGCTGCATAATTGATTAAAAATAGGAACCTATTGTCAAAAAGTAGTCAACCTAAAACCGAAAGTTATTAAAAAATTAATAGCGTTTTCTATTGGGAAAAACTCACTGGCACTGGCAGCACTGAGTATACTTGAAGCGCATTTCATTGGTAGAATTAGTGAGCATGTTTTTAAAAAAATTAAAAACTGAGGCACTGATTGTGAGTACCAGTGAGTTTTTTTTTCAATGGAGGAAGACGCCTTTAGAAAAATGTTGAAATTTACAAGTGAAATTAAATGATTTGCCGAAATTTACAAACAAGAGAAAGATATCGCGAGAAAGAAATCAGCTACTGAAATTTGCAGGAAAATTAGCTACTAAAATATGTAAGAGAAAGGGGATATGTGAACAATAAATTAATTGCCGGGATTTATAAAAAAGGAAGATATAAAAATAAAGAACTGCCGAATTAAAAAAGAAAAGAGATATAGGAGAGTTATTTTTTTCAAGTTTTTTATAGAAATTAAAAAATTAATTATTGAAACTTATAAAAAAAGAAGATATGTAGGAAAATAATTTAGCTACTCAGACATTGACATGCAACAAAAAAATGTAGAAAAAATAAAATTAGTTGAAACTTGAAAAGCTTTTTAGCTATCGTGAAAAGAAGTGGATAAAAGCTGTCGCGAATAAAAGCTGTCCTGAATAAAGCTGTAGTGAGTAAAGTTGTGAAAAAGTTGTGGATAAAAGCTGTCATAAAAAAGAAACCTGTCGTGAATAAAAGTTGTGATAAAACTCGTCAAAAAGTCGTGAAAAAAAAATCTGTCGTGAATAAAAGCGGCCGCAGGGGAAAGTGATCCGCGCAGTTTCTTGGGCCTAACGTACCTACGGCATCCCGAGTTCAAAACACTGCGGACATAAACAAACAGTCATACCTACACATACATACACGCACACACACACACACATGTACACATGTACACAACTGTAGGGGAAAAAAGCTGTCGCGAATAAAGCTATCGTGAAAAAAGCTGTCGCGAATAAAAGCTGTCGCGAAAAAAGTTATCGCTAAAGAAAGCTGTTGCTAAACAAAAACTGTTAAAGAAAGCTATCGTGAAAAAAAAGTTGCCTTGAATAAAAGCTATCGTGAAAAAGAAACCTACCGTCTTGAATATAAAAGCTGTCGCGGATAAAAGCTGTCGTGAATAAGAGTTGTAATAAAAGTCTTGTCAAAAAAGCTGTTATGAATAAAAGTTAATGTGAAAAATAGCTGTCATGAAAAAAATTACTCTCTCCATCGAAACTTGCGAAATAAATTTTTCACAGAATAAAAACGCTACAAATGTAATGTAGGGATACGGAAATGTCATTTAAGTGAAATTGCAAAATATATAAAAATAGAAAAATATCTTACTCGTATTATTTTTAATATAATTAAAGCTTCAGTTTAGCTACAGCAGCACAAAAAACGATGAATTTAGGCTCATTCGACGCGTTTTTGCACGAAATGACCGAATCTGGCAGAAAAAAGTGTCGCTCTGCCCCGCGACGCGAGATATTAATCGTTAAAGTTGACAGGAATCAGGTTATGATTTCTGTCATACCGACGACGGCTGCATTCGAGGAGCGCGCTATTAGCGCTATTGCATCATTCTGTCTTTATCGCTCATCAGGTGTAAAACAAGGATAGAACAAGCAAATAGCGCTAATAGCGCGCTCCCCGAATCCAGCCGACATGTAGCAACACTGAACGTGCCCTGCGGCCACATGCGCATGCTCAGTGGTCGCACGCGCATGTAAAACTGCGCCAATTTTAAATGAATCAATCGTGCAGAATAACCAAGCATCTCGATTCAAGCAGTTAGGTCTCACGCTGGGAGTTTTTTTAATTTAATTGCGGGGGAAGCACACACACACACACACGGGGAGGTGCGAGGGGGGGCCTTTGGCCCCCCTTCCCCCGCACCCACCCTGCCGGTAGGCAGCGTGGACCTCGCTTTACAACATAAAGTACATGCTAAGTTGTAAAGCGAAATTATACAGTACATGCGGGGGGGGGGGGGGGTGCAGAGGAGAAAAGCCTTCCTGTTCACGTGCGCCCACGCATGTAAGCCAGCTTGCACCCCTCCATGCATGTGCTTTATAATTTCGCTTTACAACTTAGCATGTACTTTATGTTGTAAAGCGAGGTCCACGCTGCCTACCGGCGGGGTGGGTGCGGGAGAGGGGGGGACCGAAGGCCCCCCTCTCGCCCCCCCCGTGTGTGTGTGTGTGCTTCCCCCGCATAATTAAATTAAAGAAACTCCCAGCGTGAGACTTAACTGCTTGAATCGAGATGCTTGGTTATTCTGCACGATTTAACTGTTTAATGATTTTCGTTAAAGCAGGGCACACACACACGTGTGTATGTCCTGCTTTATAGAAGTTGTGATTTTCGTTAAAAAAAGCGTCATCTAATCTACATCGGTTAGATGACGCGCTTTAAACACTTAAATACTTTTAAAGCGCGTCATCTAACTTATGTTCATCATTGAAAGCTAATTGTAAGTGATATGTAAGTGATTTATTATTCTAATAAAATAGAATTAATAGATTTTTTAATTCAGCATGGAATATTAGCAAATACAATTAAGTGTAGTCAGTGCGATAACAATATAAACATTAATAAAAATACATTAAAATATTGATGTGGAAAACGATATTACATAAAAAATATACATAAAGAACGTGTCTCCAAAATGTGCGATATAACATGTTTTTAACGTGCAGTACTTGGTCCCGGCTCCTCGGATGAGACTGGCTGGTCCTCGGTAATGGACATTGGAGGATACATCTCCGCGATGATCTCGAAAAAGGCTTCGATACGTTCCAGTCGTTTATAGACGCGTTTGAACAGATATTTGGACAAATGTCCATGAAGGTGCTCGGATTTAGTTCCGTATCTTGGAATATTTGCCCGAACCTCTCTCCAAACGCGCTCTATATGTTGAGTGTGTGCACCTGTAAATTGAAAAAAATGTATTGGAATACGGTAGGTACAACATTAATAATATAATTAGCTATATATTTAACATTTTTTATCACTCTCAGGATCGACAAAATTGTAGGAATGGTTCACTGTCAGATGTTGGAAGTCTTCATTGCTTAAGCAATTGTAAGACTTCCAACAATCTGACACGATCGTGGTTCCTGGCAGAATCCATTCCTTGATGCATGCCAGGAGTGTCTTTTCTGTCCGATCCTCGACTGGAACGATGAAGACCTTTTTTGAGTCTCGCTCGTACCCTCCAAAAATCCAATTGCCCTTTAGAAGTCGGCCACGATTGTACTTGCGATGTCCAATTTTCGCCTCATCTATTTCAACTGTGTGTCCTGGGCCACCAAGCTTTGTACTATATTTATCTGCCCAGAACACACAGACCTGCAAGTAAAAAAATAATATTAAAATTATTTTTCGACATTAATTATTATACATTTTTCTTTACTATACAGTACAATTATTATTAACATAAATTAAGATATAATTACCTCTCGGCAAAAATTGAACCAATCTGTAATCGTGGCTGACGCCACGCCAGTCTCATCCATTGTGTCATCGTGACGCGGATGTCGAAGCATTAAAAAACATGCTACTATTTTAGAAATAGTAGCGATGTCTAAATGACTTTTGTGGAACCAAGTACCGGTTTTCGCACTTTTGTAAAAATCGCACGTTTTGCAGACACGTTTTTTATGTACATTTTTTACATAATATCGTTTTCCACATCGATATGTTAATGTATTTTTATCAATATTTATATTGTTACCACACTGACTACACTTAATTGTATTTGCTAATACGCCATGCAGAATTAAAAAATCTATTAATTCGCTTTGGCTATAAGTTAAGTGGGAAAACTCTAACAAGCCCAACATTGTTGCACGTGTCTGCGACTTCACATATGACTTTAGCGCGTTTCATTTGTTTAATTCTACTTGTTATTTTGCACACTAGTTTCAAATTGGCGCACTTTGCATGCGCGTGCGACCACTGAGCATGCGCATGTGGCCGCAGGGCACGTTCAGTGTTGCTACATGTCGTCGGTATGACAGGAATCATAACCTGATTCCTGTCAACTTTAACGATTAATATCTCGCGTCGCGGGGCAGAGCGACACTTTTTTCTGCCAGATTCGGTCGTTTCGTGCAAAAACGCGTCGAATGAGCCTAAATTCATCGTTTTTTGTGCTGCTGTAGCTAAACTGAAGAATTACCAAATAATTATTATAATATTATAATTCTATTATAACATTATGATAGAATTACGATTGTATAAAATAAAATAGATTAAATAAAAAATAATGTTATTGGCAGTGTATTATGTAGATTATTTATCAATTGTTATATGCCTTTATAAAACAGAAATAATAGCAAACACATTTTTAAATTAATTAAATGTATAAGTTATTATTTATTATTATACATAAGATGTTATGAAATTTAAATTTCTTTATAAATTTAAGTAAAATTGTAATATGGATATAGTCCACGATTATTTAGAAAGACTTAATATATTTATATTTTTCATTGTAATTTATTTCTACTATTTAATATAAATACAATATTGTAAACCCCATTTCAAAATTGTTCTGATTATGTTAATCTTATTTACTGTACAATTGTGAAAAAAGGTATATATTTACTGTAACTAAAAACTAAACTTACCTTTTCTTCAGTAGGAAATAACTTTATTATTTGATCACTTAGGAAAAATGCC